CAAAAAGCACAAGGTTTCATTCTGGGTGTTGTGTTTCTTGGGATTAGTCTCCTTTTTGTGCCCCAGCAAGAACTAAGTGATGTGTCTGTATTTCAAGTGCAGAGCTTTGTTGCAAGTCTGTTCTTATCTTTTAATGGAAAGTTGTAAGTTCCAGGAAGTTGCAGATCTACATTTTTCAATTTGTCTTTTATTTTTTTCATCCATCTTTGTTATCAGGAGCGTGAAAATACCTTGCCCTTACCTAAAGATGCTCATGGTGATTTGGATTGCAGGAAGCTGGTTGAGCAGCTGAAGGAATGTCCAACACTCCATGATCAAGCAGATATTTTATATATCTTGCATATATTAAAGTAAGTTGCCTGAATATGAACTTCAGCATCTTTGGGTTTGGTCACAACTGATTATTCTTGTGCAAAAGTTTATCACTGTTGTGTTTTGAGGGGAGAATGGAAATGCTCTGTGCTTTAACAAGCAGATTTTCAGTTAGTTTGGGTACAGAAATGATTTGGATATTAAAGACTTGTGCAAATTTTAGAGTTGATTGGCACACAGTTGTAAATACATGAATTCTCCAGGGCTCCCAAATTGGAGACAAATCCTTTCCATGAGTGAGAGCACACCCTGCTGTGTTTGTGGCACTCCATTTAAAGTTCATTTAAAGATTGGGTGTAATTTTTATTCACAAGAATGGAAGTGGAGGGAAACTTCATCTTATCATTTTCTAACTAAAAGCACAATGCAATTTTCATGAGTGTCCACTATTTTTCCTCTAATCTCTCTGCATATTTAAGTACATAACTGGCTAAAACTTGGTACTTCTTAAAACATTCTTGGAAGCAGTCTAGACTCATCTGCTGGGATTAGTAAACACCTGCTATTTMAATGGGTTTAAAATGCAAATAAAAACAACAGAATCATCTTCTGAAGTGTTTTTATTGAGCTTYTTTTTTCCTGTCAGGAGAATAGTGCTAGAAGCTGTCAGGCAGTTGGCTTTTGGTGCAAAGACAAGGATGTGTTAAYCACAGATGGTCTCCCCTACTGCTGCAAAGATTGCATTTTTGTTTGTCTGTCTCCTGTGAGGACCTCTTCTTTGATCTTGATTTCCCAAGCAAAATGTTGTTTAGCATCTTCTCTTAAAGAGTAAAGGAAATTCTATAAAAATCTGTTTTGTGGTTTAACTGCATCTGATACCAGTAATTTCAGGGGAGTCTCTGTTGGGCAGGCAGATGGACCTTGAGTCCACTCTATCTACAGGAGCTGAAAAGTCATTCTGTGACACTCCAAAACATTAGCAAAGARAAGCCAAAATGCAGTGAATTTCAAAACCAGGAGAGGAACAGAAATCTTTGCTTTTTCAGTAATGCCATAAGCAACATGGAAGTTTAGTTAATAGCTAAAAAAGAGGCAAGGCTAAAAAATTCCCCTGCAGCATCTGAAAATTGGGTGTAGTGTTCAGCAGTACTGAATTTGATGCATTCTGCTCTGAAAAAAAGCATTGTATGGAGTGTTCCTTTGTGTAAGTGCTGAATTTCAAGTCCAGTGGGAAATCCTTCAGGTGATTTGTGTTCAAGTCACAGCTGAATGAGTGCTCAAATCAGTGTGAAAGTTCCTGCTACCAAGAGTATTTTGTTCACATATAATCAGTATAATTGGTATTTCATATATATATTTGATATATAATCAGTATAATTGGTATTTCATTGTGTCACCAACATCAGCCAGGCAGTGAAACTCTGCCTGTGGGGTGAGGTTTAGCATTTTAGCTGATGAAATTGCTGTGTTTGTTTTGTGCAGAGGTGCTGAGTGGGACACAGAGCTGGATGGACACTGTGGGGTCACTGTTCACTGCCTCCTCAATGAGCTCTACAGAAAAGCAGGTCTTCATCAAGAATGGGGCTTAATCCGTTACATTTCGGGCATACTCAAAAAGAAAGTTGAAGTCCTGGCTGAGGTATGAAATGCAAATAATCCTGGTTCAGCTTCCTGCCTGGGAACTGATAAAACTACCAGTTTGGGCTTGGCCCTTCTACTTTTTGTTGACAACATAAATAATGCAGCATTTTAAATTAAATATTGGTTGCTTTTCAGCTTTGTTTATTTTAAAATATTTAAATTTTAAATTTATTTTTAAATTAAATATTGGTTGCTTTGTCTTTCGTCTGTACTGCGAACTGTGCTAAAGTTGGCATGGGCTGAGAATGCTACACTAAATTGCTGTGAAGGCTTCATTTGACCTCTGTTAATCAGAGAATTAATTTTGTATTCTTTGGTAGCTGCAGTTGTCACTGGTAATTGTCTGTTGCTGTTGTAATGATTTGAACTCTTTTGGAGCTATATCAAGATGCTAGTGATGACACAAAATGTGTTCTGCCCATTCCCATCCTCTTGGGTGGACAGTCTGCCATGTGAATGGATTTTGGAACCATTTCAATCTTTGTGACTATTAAGTGGTAACAAGAAAAACCCTCTCTTTGAGTACAGATCTGATTCTGATCATTGCAAAAATGCTTCCTCTCAAATACTCTCAAAGTATTTGTTTAATTTTCCARTTATTCCGTGCATATTTCCAAAGAGCTCTTTCTATAATTCCTGGGCATTTTCAGGGCTCTGACTGTCACTCCTGGGATGCCCTATTTTAGTGACAGTCCTGATCAGTTTGTGACAATCACTGGCTTGAGCACAGAACTTTTTCCATTCCCAAGAGACATTGTAGATGTGCTCACAGAAAGCCATGGATGTTACCTGGAGAAGGTATTGACAAAGAATTGGGGAGGAATAGAATAGACATGATCTGTTCTCTTCATGTTGAGTGAAAATGGACTCTTCAAAATAAGAGTGAGGTTTTGTTTCAGGATAMTTAAACAGGTAAATTGAACACCCACTTTTAAAAGAGGTCGATAKAAAAAGTAAACACTGTGGTACTGGGGAAAGTTTCAGAATGTACTGGGAATGTGATGCTGACACATTAGTACACAGGATTTTCTTTATCTAATGATGCCAAACTTTCCATTGATTAAAAATATTTTTGTCTTAAATAAAGAACCAAAGTTTATCATAGGATAAAGGATGAAAGCCTTTAYTGATCTGCCAGCCCCACTGGAGTTCCTAATCTAATCATTAGGCTGCTGATTTCACTGAGCAGAGAAATAGGCCACGTTCAGCCTGGCCTAAACTCTTGTTGACCTCAGGAGATCTTTGGAAACTTTAACAGCTTTCTGCTGGACCTGCATGTCTGGTAATTAATAGAAATGCATTCAAAAACTGCTAAAGAAACTGAATTAGTTTAATTTTGGGAATTAAAAGCCATATCACTTGCACGTAACTCAGAGAAAGTTCTCTTGCATTTTGTCCCCTTATGACAGGCATGCACAGATCTTCTGTCACACCACAAACAACTTACAGTGGGCTTACCACCAGAACCCCGGGAGAAAATCATCACCACGTAAGTTGGAGCTCTGCCTCAGCTCCTGGCTGCCCTCATCTTCCTGCTGTTATCTTCTTTTACACCTTCCCTGCTCTCAAAAAGGATTTGCAGCCACCCAGACAGAACTGTAGGTGCTTTTATTCTGGGTGACTCAATGCCAGTACTTGTTGAAGAGTTTAATAGCTGTACTTGTTGAACAGTTTAGTAGCTGTACTTGTTGAAGGGTTTAGTAGCTGTACTTGTTGAAGAGTTTAGTAGCTGTACTTGTTGAACAGTTTAGTAGCTGTACTTGTTGAAGAGTTTAGTAGCTGTATTTGTTGAACAGTTTAGTAGCTGTACTTGTTGAACAGTTTAGTAGCTGTACTTGTTGAACAGTTTAGTAGCTGTACTTGTTGAACAGTTTAGTAGCTGTACTTGTTGAAGGGTTTAGTAGCTGTACTTGTTGAACAGTTTAGTAGCTGTACTTGTTGAAGAGTTTAGTAGCTGTATTTGTTGAACAGTTTAGTAGCTGTACTTGTTGAAGAGTTTAGTAGCTGTACTTGTTGAACAGTTTAATAGTGGTACTTGTTGAAGGGTTTAGTAGCTGTACTTGTTGAAGAGTTTAAAACCTGGCTGTGGCAGTCACTGCTGCTGTGGTTCATCTTTTTGCAGCCCTCTGCCCCCTGAGGAGCTCACAGATCTCATTTACGAAGCCAGTGGCCAAGACATCAGCATTGCAGTGCTGACACAGGTATGCAGGATGTGCCAAAAGGCTGCTTTGGCTGTGCCAGTGTTGGTTCTGACACTGGGAGAGCCATGRAGCCCCACTCTGATGGGTTTTATGGATTTTCCTTCCAGGAGATAATCATGTACCTGGCCATGTACGTCAGGTCCCAGCCCAGTCTCTTTGTGGAGATGCTGCGGCTGCGCATCGGGCTCATCATCCAGGTGATGGCCACCGAGCTGGCACGGAGCCTCAAATGCTCAGGTAAGAGACAGTTTTATTCTAAAGATACTTATGGCATCATTTTTGCTTCACCCTTTGTGGCTGATCGGTTCATTTATGTGTTAAACCCTTTTATTAACCTCTTGGTTCAAATGTGCCGTTACAAACTTGGAAAATCACTTTTTTTTTTTTACTTAATGAAAGATTACTCTCCCCGTGGTACCCAATTATTCAAAGAATATCAAAGGATATTCTTTATGGAATAACTCCAGCTCTGTAATTTAGACCCACATGTCATCTGCTGTTGGGAGATGACTGCAATGCCTTTCCAATGATCTTATTCTGCAAGGGAGCAACTGCTTTCTCACCATGAGCTTCAGGGACATTTTGCACAAACTGTGACATAATAAAAATCAATGCATGTTTCTTGTTTAGTCCTGAAATGTATTTTCTTTGAAATGTGACTGTGTATTAATTTTTTAAAGGAAGCAATAGCCACGAAGTCAAATTTGATTGGAATTCATCCATCAGCTACAGCTTTCTGTTTTGTGACATTTGTCTTGTTTTRTTTAATTAGGTGAAGAAGCTTCAGAGAGTTTGATGAATTTAAGCCCYTTTGATATGAAAAGTCTCCTACATCATATTCTCAGTGGGAAAGAGTTTGGAGTGGAAAGAAGCTGTAAGTTGTTTGGTTTTGTATGTTAAGTTACACTGTCTTATGAGTAGAGATCTATTCTTTCTGCACATGAAATAAAGGTATTAGGCAATGTATTAATCACTATTAATAAGGTAAAGTATTAACCACTATGTGTGTGTAGGCTGTGGAATAAACAAACAAAAAAAAAAAAGATGGAAACTATCCTGCACTGAAATAAGATTGTATCAAGGTTTCAGTAATATGAAGGCAAACTGCTAAAATGAAGAAATTTTCTGGGACCAGAACAAAAGTCAGAGACTCATTGCAAACTGACAAAAGCTACAAAAGCTCAATTGGAGAATCACTTTCTGATATCTAAGTATGGATTTAGGCCCCTCACTTGATACAATCAGCTTTGAACTCTTGGTGTGATTTGAAAGGATGCCATCACCAAGAACATTTTCTGAAAGATTTGTGTTTAACTTCTTAGGTAAAATTTCATCTGTTTTTCTGCCCCTAGAATGTTAAAAATGTCCATTTRCTTCTTTAGTGCGACCTGTAGATTCTTCTTCATCCAGCCCTGCCATTTCTATTCGTGAGATGGGGCATTCTGGAGCAACCAAAACAGAAAGAAGTGGCATCACTAAACTGAAGAGTGAGATGAAGCAGGTGAGGGTTTTTTGTCAAAGCTCATCAGAAAGTACAGCTGTTCTGGAACTGTGTGTTAGGTTTTATTCTTGCTAAATGACAGAAATCTCCAAAGATGCTTTGATTTTAAAATTGGTCACTAAATAGAAGGCAGATAGGGTTTTTTTCCTCCAAAAATGTGTTTCCTCTTTTGTTCTTGTTTCACATGCTGAATGAGAAGAACTTGAACAAACTCCAATGCATTCATGGCATCCACTGTAACAACAGTTCTCTTMTCATGTTTAGCTGAGGAGAAGTTAAATGTACAAAGAGAAACTTTTGTGCACTGTTTGTTCTTGTACTTGGCCCAAGTTGCAAGAGTGGACCACATTCCTTTTGGAAAAGATACATGTGGAAAAGGAATTTTGCTTTGTTTTCTTCCAGTTCTGTTTCTTCAGGAATGGAGGGTGATTACTGATATAATTTATACATGTGTGTATTCAAGTTCAATACTTTAAATGCCACTTCAACTGAGTATATGGAGAGATCACAGAAAACACAGTCAAAATACTCTGAATGAATGTGACTGATGGTTTTGTTATCAGTGGTTTGATTTCTCTAYTTGGTGTCTCCATTAGTAATTTTCTTTTGCTTTAAATAAATAGGAAGGTAGTGGTCAAATAAAATAKATTTGTAAGAATGGTTCTGTTTTTCCTCCTGGGTTATTCAGCCTAGAGAAGAAGGCTCCAAGGAGCCCTTATTGCAGTTTTGCAATTTATAAAGGAGGCTTACAGGAAAGATGAAAAGATGCTTTTTGCCAGGCCCAGAGTGACAGGACAAGGGGCAGCAGTTTGGAACTGCAAGGGTGGGTTTAGATTGGATGCAAGGACTGCATTTTTTACCATGAAGAGGCAGAGGTTGTGGAACAGGTTGTCCTGTGAGATTGTGGATGGCCCAGCCTGGAAATGGGTACGGTCAGATTGGATGGGGCTTTGAGCAGCCTTATCTGAGGAAGTGTTGGATGTGTTCCTTTGATTGTATGAAACAGACTGAATAAGCCTTCAAAAAGGAGTGGTGTTTTTACATGGTCTGACCATGGAGCATTTGCAGGGGACAGGAGAGATCAGTCCATGATTTTTCATGGGACATGATCAGGCAGGGAAGCAGAGAGCCCTGTGTCTCACAGACCTGGGTGCTCTGTCTGAGTTGTGTCACTGCTGCAGCACCATCTGGAGCTTTGGGGTGCTGTGAAGGTGCTGTGACTGTGCTGTCCTGGCCTTAGGCTCAGTCTAACAGGGCTCCCAGTGACACAGGGTGGCTGCTTTGGGGCCTTTCCAGGGAGGAGGAGGGACAAGGCTCTAGATGGCAGCAAGATTTTGTTTGAAATAAGAGCTGGAATACTTGGACCTCTCTTGACATCACAAACATAGTTCCTTTGTTGCTTTTGCATTCCATGGAAATTGGTGTTTTGCACAGAGGAGGAGTTGGCTGGGTTTATTTTGGTACCCCCCACTTTGCC